CTGTACACCTCGAACATTTCAAAGCCCAGTGTGCTTTCACACAGCTGACTACTGTCTACCGAGCTCACTCGAAACAGACCCCCCCACTCACCATCCCTAGTCCACGGCTCAACAAGGAGGTTTTCAGGTCCAGACTTCTCTTCTTTTCCTTTGACATCACATGCCTGAAGAGTCAACTGGAGAGGTTTACCTGATCAAAGAAAAGAAAGAGCGAGCCTTAAGCGAACACGTGAAGAACTGAAAACTAGCAGGCCTATCTGTGGAAATAGTCCTGTGGCTACCAGGACTGCTAACTAAAAATCTCCCTGTGTAAAAGCTGAAACAGAGCAGTCATATTAGACAAAAGCTGACGCTCACCCTCTGTGCTTTCCTGAAAGAGACAAAGTACAGCTTATGTCCCTGAGAGATTCCAAGGACAGCTTTCTAAAACAGCCATTGTTCTGGAAAAAGGACATCACAAGATACAGGTTGATAACACAGATTAAACACATTGGGGCGGGGAGCATTCCTAAAATACTGTTTTGGAGTCAATAATTAACTTTGTTGCAATTGCATATGTGTGTGTATGTATATATATATATATATATATATATATATGTCTTGTTTATTTAAATCATCTCTTCAAGCAAAATTTCTATTTGAAGAATTAGAAAAAACTTTTTCAGAACACTTGGCTTTGGCAAAAAATTACATCTGTTTATATATATATAAATCATCTTTTGCTATGATGATCTGAAAATGTTTTCCTTTTGTTTTAGTAATATAATGAATACCCGTTCACCTCTGATATGACCTAGAACTAGAACATGACCCCTAGACATACCTTCCTATCATCCACTGCTCCTTGCCTGAATAACCATTCATCTGAATTCCATTCAGCTTCCAGACACTACCTGCTATCCCTCCCATCCAGCCATGCCTGCTCTGGACTGTTCACTAGCACCAGCCCCCACCACCCAAAAAAAAGATCTTTCAAAATTTAGGGGAGAAACTAGATTTACAGGACATTAATTGTCTAACTTTAAAATTTAAAGAGGCAAAAGAAAAAAAATTAAACAGGCTGGGCATTGTGGCTCATGCCTATAATCCCAGCATTTTGGGAGGCTGAGGTGGGAGAACTGCTTGAGTCCAGGAGTTTGAGAGCACCCTAGCCAACACATGGAGGGCTCATTTCCACAAATTTTTTTTTTTTTAATTAGCTAGGCGTGGTGGCATATGCCTATAGTCCCAGCTACTCAGGAGGCCGAGGCGAGAGGATCACTTGAACCTGGAAGGTGGAGGTTGCAGTGGGCTGAGATTATGCGACTGCAATCCAACCTGGGTGACAGAGTGGGACCCTGTCTCAAACAAACAAACAAAAATAAAAACTTAAGTCATTAAGTCATTCATATTAAGACAATGGTACAAACGTCATGGCAGAGGCCAGGTGTGGTGGCTCACACCTGTAGTCCCAGCATTTTAAGAGGCCACGGTGGGAGGATTGCTTCAGCCTAGGAGTTCAAGACCAGCCTGGGCAACATAATGAGACCCCATCTCTACAAAAAAATGTTAAAAATTAATCAGCTATGGCCGGGCGAGGTGGCTCAAGCCTGTAATCCCAGCACTCAGGGAGGCCAAGGCGGGTGGATCACAAGGTCAAGAGATCGAGACTACATGGTGAAACCCCGTCTCTACTAAAAATACAAAAAATTAGCTGGGCATGGTGGCGCATGCCTGTAATCCCAGCTACTCAGGAGGCTGAGGCAGGAGAATTGCCTGAACCCAGGAGGCAGAGGTTGCGGTGAGCCAAGATCGCGCCATTGCACTCCAGCCTGGGTAACAAGAGTGAAACTCCGTCTCAAAAAACAAACAAACAAACAAACAAAAAAACAAAAAAAAAATTAACCAGCTATGGTGGCATGCACCTGTAGTCCAAGTACTTGGGAGAATGATGCAGGAGAATCGCTGGAACCTGGGAAGTCAAGGCTGCAGTGAGCTGTGATCATGCCACTGCACTCTGGTCTGTGCAATGGTGCAAGACTCTCTCAAAAAAAAAAAAAAAAAAAAAAGGCAGAAATATCACAGTAATATTGTACAAAGATGAGACCTAATACCATACATTGTGGAGTCCAGGAAGGTTGTGCTTGCAGGAGGAAGTGTTGCACTACAGTCCTCTCGGAGTAACTTTATGGGCTCCTGTGTGGAGGAGGATTACAAGGCCCCATTCTGGCTTAGCAGAAAAGTGCTCATATGAATTACTGCTAGGCCCAGGAGGGGAAAGCAGTGGCAGACATGTGTGCAAATCCTTCCAAGCAGCTATGATGGGAGTGCAGAGGGATGCATCTAAGACAAAGATCCCTTTGCACCCTAGCATGGCCACCTTTCTCCCTCTGACAGGTAAGAACTACTCCAACCCTGCTGGCCTACACAATGAGATACTTTGGTACTTCACCAAAGATGGCTGTGTTCAAATGGCCACCAGACCCGAATAATTTTGCAAGCAGACGGTGGAGTACAGCCCTGTGGACACTCAAGCGCCCTCTTCTGGTGATACTGTCATAACATAAATGAACCCAAATGCCCCTCCTCCCTGCCGATCCTAGTAAGGTCCAATACTCAGAGGATATGTTCATCCAGGAATCATGGTATAACTACAACAACCCAAGGAGATGAGAAGATACCAGGAGGTCACATGGTGAAGAACGGCTTTACGATGTGTCTACTGTTGGCACTTCCGTCACCCCCATGTTTTACCATATTTACCGTATTTGAGGAGCAGGTTCTGTCTGACTGAAGCCATGGACAAGAGGAGGGATGAGGCATCGTATTGTGTGTCCAGATGGTCAGTGATGGTGCACAGAGAGCTCATCACTTTGGCAACACTTCCTCTTGCGAGTGCAAAAGCCAGAAGAGTCAGTTCTACCTCTGGGGTAGAACAGCAGCTATAAAGAAGCAGCAACAATGTTTCACTTCTTAACAACATGAAAAAATCCAGGTAGCTCAAACCCCATGTAAAAAGTGATCACCACAAGTAACATTAACCTGCCATATGCCTTCTACAGGTTTATCAGAAATATTTTTCAAAATCCTTAAGATAACCTAAGGAAAAATTAAATCAATCCAGAGAACCAGGGAGTGAAAGCCTTACTTCTGTAACTTTTAATCTTTAAATATTACATAATACTAATAAGCAAAAAATAAATGAGCTACTATAAGCCTCTGCTGTTAAGAAGCTGTGGGTAATGAGTTGGTTTGGCCAGAGAGCTGAGGGTTTATGTCTGAAGCACCAAAAATTTATTTTAGATCTACTCTGAATCACACTTCTCTGCCTTTTCATTTCAACATATTACACTGAAACGTTAAAAATTGTCTAGACGGCTCAGGGACTGGTTTGTCGTCTAATACAGCAATGTCCTCAGGGCTCACTGAGGTAGAAGTGTCCCCACACAAACTGGTCCCTACTATCAAGCTATCCAGGCACCCTTTCTCAGTTCTGTAGGTAACCAGGCTCCCTGGACCTGTGTGTAAAGGTCAGCAGGTTCTGAGTGAGGACCACAGGCTAGACACAGCAGTAAAATGCGAGACTATGCCACTTGGACTTTGAGACATCTGTCCTGTCAGAATCAAAGGACTACTCCCCCTGGGCCCTGCAACACCACCCCCGGCCCCAATTCTTTAGGTCAGGTCATACTGCTAAATAACAGACTTTGGATGAGCAAACTATTATGTCACTTTCTCTTTAGAGAAAAAGCAACCATTTTTAGTGGCGATCTTTAAAAGATTAACATATATATATATATATTTGTTATTGTCATTAGAAAAACTCGGCAAAGGCCGGGCGTGGTGGCTCAAGCCTGTAATCCCAGCATTTTGGGAGGCCGAGGCGGGCGGATCACAAGGTCAAGAGATCGAGACCATCCTGGCCAACATGGTGAAACCCTGTCTCTACTAAAAATACAAAAATTAGCTGGACATGGTGGCGTGCACCTGTAGTCTCAGCTATTCGGGAGGCTGAGGCAGGAGAATTGCTTGAACCCAGGAGGTGGAGGTTGCAGTGAGCCAAGATTGTGCCACTGCACTCCAGCCTAGTGCCTGGCGACAGAATGAGACTCTGTCTCCAAAAAAAAAAAAAAAAAAAAAAAAAAAGAGAGAGACTCGGCAAAATGAAATTCCTGTTTATTGTTGGACAATACTGTTTCACATACGCATCAAACAGGCCAAAAAAAATAAATAAATAAACAGCAACTTCACAGACAAAAAAGGAAAAAAAGGAAACATTTTCATCTTTGGCCTTTTCAACCATCTCATCCAAACCAACTACAGTACAGCTAAGTACATACACAAAAAAGGTACTGGAATGCTCGGAATACGATTGTTTTTCTGTTGCCGTTTTCACTTTTCTTTGCAAGGTTTTTTTCTCCTTTGAGATTATAATGAAATGGTCATAGCACAAGTAAAGTCAGAAGTAGGACACAAAACGCTCCGAAGGCTGGTTTGGTCATCTGAGATCATTACAAATGGCTGACCCTGGCCGGGCGCGGTGGCTCAAGCCTGTAATCCCAGCACTTTGGGAGGCCGAGGCGGGTGGATCACGAGGTCGAGAGATCGAGACCATCCTGGTCAACATGGTGAAACCCCGTCTCTACTAAAGGTGCAAAAAACTAGCCGGGCATGGTGGTGCATGCCTGTAATCCCAGCTACTCAGGAGGCTGAGGCAGGAGAATTGCCTGAACCCAGGAGGCGGAGGTTGCGGTGAGCCGAGATCGTGCCATTGCACTCCAGCCTGGGTAACGAGAGCGAAACTCCGTCTAAAAAAAAAAAATGTAAATTAAAAAATACAAACTGATTTCTGTTTTCAAGTACTTTTAAGAAAAAAAGCAGGGCCCTGGAAGCTTTGGTTCTTTCTTCCTCCTCTGCTGCACATTCTCATGGTTTGGGTTGGGTAGTGGAGAGCGCATCGGGTCATCTGCGGGTGGCGCTGCCCGTGGTGGGCGGGCCTCTCTACTTGAAGGCGACCACGTTTAGATTCTGAGATGGGAAGTCAGGGTGAAGAGGTCACGGCAGCTTTTTTTTTTTTGGTTTAAGTTTTCCTTTTTTGCTGCGTAGTCATCGTCGTCGGTCTTCTGCTTCTCGGCATCCACATCGTCGTCTTCATCATCGGCAGCTGCCCGCTTGCCCGTAGCAGACTCAGCCCCCCATCTTCATCTCCATCCTCCTCCTCACCATCACCTTCTTCCTCCTCCTCCTCTGCCTCCCCACCTTCCTCTTCATCTACCTCATTGTCAGGCTCCCGCTCCCCATTTTCCTCATTCGCATTCCCGTTAGCAGGGGCGTCTCTTCCATTTTCCGCCTCTTCCACAACTTCCTTCTTCTCCTTCAAGTCCTTGGTGGTGATTTTGGAGCTGGTGTCTACGGCTGCGTCTGACATGGTGGGGCGCGCCGGTGATCAATGCACAGGATTAAAAAGAAGGCGAGAGTTGGGGACTCTGGCAATAAAGCTGCCGGAGTCCGCGGCGGCCAAGGGCCTGGCTGAGGTGGCTGCGGTGAGCAAGGAGCCGGACGAGGAACAATGCAAAGATGGCTTTTCAGAGCAGCCAGTCAACATTTATTTTTTAAAGACTTAACAAGCACATATGCCCTCCATTCCTCACAGTTTACCCTCATCAACCTTGCTTTTACCTAGTAATCCTTATGAGGAAACTGTCCACTTCTTCCAGCACATTAGGTGACAGGAAGGTTGAGAAATCTGCAGATCCTGGTGAGAGAGAAAGTGGAGGCATGTGCTGCAGTGCCTTCCTGGAAGAGCAAAATGTAAAATCAGACAAAACCAGAATAATAGACAGGAAATAAGCAGTTACAAGCTTGTTTTGACTAATCTCTGATAAACAGACAGTGTTCCCAAAGAGAAGCTGGCACACGATATAAACTAGGCCTCCTTTTTTATTTGAGACGGCGTCTTGCTCTGTTATCCAGGCTGGAGTGCAATGGTGCGATCTCGGCTCACTGCAATCTCCACCTCCTGGGTTCAAGCAATTCTCCTGCCTCAGCCTCCCAAGTAGCTGGGATTACAGGCGCTCGCCACCATGCCCAGCTAATTATTTTGTATTTTCAGCAGAGATAGGGTTTCATCATCTTGGCTAGGCTGGTCTTAAACTCCTGGCCTCGTGATCCACCCGCCTCAGCCTCCCAAAGTGGTGAATTACAGGCATGAGCCACCGCACCCAGCCTGAAGTAGCCCTTTTTAACCAGAGTCACAGTGCTAAGTAGTCTAATAGGGTTTTGTCTTTCTCTTTCTCTTTCTCTCCCTCTCTCTCTCTTTACACCCTCTCTCTCTCTTTATCTATCTTTCTGGTTTTCTTTCTTTTTGGAAGTTCTGCTTCCCTCTGTTGAATAAAGCTTATTCAACTCTCTGGAATCCAGCCTTGACGTTAAGTATTGTTAAAAAAAACTGACCCAAGAGGCAGAGCAACTTGTGGATCTGTAGAAAATTTATTTTATAATTTGTTTAGCAGCAATAGGGAAAAAAAAGAAAAGAACATTTTCTACCTGCAATCGTAAGATCTATGAGATCTACGTATCTAAAGATGGATCACGAATTTCGTTTTCTCCTGACAGATCAGCATGCCACCGTCTCCACTCCTGCATGTTTCTTGGCCTTTCCGCCTTAACGTCTGTTTCAATGTTTCTATTTTCTTGTCTTTGCTTACGTTTATCTCTCTGAATCCCCCAATAGCTTTATCTCCTCTAGATTAGCAGTCATCAAAAATGTATGCAACACATGATTTCTGAGTCCTACTGTGTGCCAGCAACTGTGTAGGTAAGTGAGTGTGCCATGACAATTTCACGGTATTCTGTGAATGTATCAAAATAACTCAAAATTCTACAACTCACAGTTGCTTCATGATAATGGTAACGAAAAACCCTGAAACAATTTCATTTCTACATTTTAAAATGGAGACAATACAGCAAAACTAACACAGTGTCCGCTCATACTCTGCCCTAGTTTCTGTTCCTGTCTACATAATGAGTCATTTTTGGGTTGCACACACATGGCAGCTACATGTAGATGCAGCTGCTCAGTGAGGTCTAATGCACACAAGTAGCATGCAATCATTTCCTGAATTTATTTCCCCTGCCACAGGCAAACACTTCTGTCCCAAAATATTCTTTCCTTACCTATTTTTTCTCATTGATATTTTTTCCAATAAATCTTTAATTTTAAAATAGATTTAGATCACTGATCTTAAAAAGGCAGGAGTGCATGAAAATATCATTGCAGATAAACTAATAAAACTGATCAGGATCATAAACTTTAAAATATGTCCATTCTTCCAGCCGGGCATGGTGGCTCACACCTGTATCTCAGCACTTTGGGAGGCCGAGGTGGGCAGATCACGAGGTCAGAGTTCAAGACCAGCCCGGCCAATATGGTAAAACGCCATCTCTACTAAAAATACAAAAATTAAAGGCCAGGCGCAGTGGCTCAAGCCTGTAATCCCAGCACTTTGGGAGGCCGAGGCGGGTGGATCACGAGGTCAAGAGATCGAGACCATCCTGGTCAACATGGTGAAACCCCATCTCTACTAAAAATGCAAAAAATTAGCTGGGCAGGGTGGCCCGTGCCTGTGATCCCAGCTACTCAGGAGGCTGAGGCAGGAGAATTGCCTGAACCCAGGAGGCGGAGGTTGCGGTGAGCCAAGATTGCACCATTGCACTCCAGCCTGGGTAACAAGAGTGAAACTCTGTCTCAAAAAAAAAAAAATTAGCCAGTGTGGTGGCGTGCACATGTAGTCCCAGCTACTTGGGAGGCTGAGGCAGAAGAATCACTTTAACCTGGGAGGCAGAGGTTGCAGTGAGCCAAGATCACTCCACTGCACTCCAGCCTGGGTGACAGAGTGAGACTCTGTCTCAAAAAAAAAAGTGTCCATTCTTTAACCACTTGGCACATCTACCAAAAAATAATGTAGAAACCTCTTCCTTTTCCTGAAATCCAGTCCATAAGATGGGGCTGTGCAACACAGGGATTTGTATGTGTTGGGGAGAAAGGGGAGGAGTCATGGTGGCCTACAGTGAGGTTTCAGAGCCTCAGCCGGATGAGAAAGTTATCTTCACAAAGGTACAGCCTGGCATGCAATGCAAGCACCAAGTGGGGCAAGAAGGGTGGCCTGGCACAGGGTACAGTACTCAGGAAAGATAAGAAAGGCATGGATGCAAGGGTAGCCACAGCAGTAGCCCTGCAAAAGATGCTGGAGCAGGAATGGGACAGGGAGGGTGTCCACGCAAGGGCAAGGGCAATGGGACACTGGTTGCTAGAGGTGGACTGCCTAAGTACGGAAATATATCAAGTATGATGGGAAGCAAGTTTCTTAAAATCAGAGAAGGGACTCACAAATACACAAATAGGCTGGGCATGGTGGCCCACGCCTATAATCTCAGCACTTTGGGAGGTCGAGGCAGGTGGGTCTCCACCTAAAGAGCCCCTGATTCGGAAAAATGGCTGATTCCAGGACTAATGCCGGGAACATTCAAGATAAGCCTGGAATATTCTGTGTCAGAACGTATGGAAGTATTCCAAGAATGAGACATGTCAAAAGAACACACAAGCCAGACTGAAGGGTTTGCCACCAGCCAACTCCAGGATAATATAAGCACCAAAACTGTGGCTGATTATAATCTACATATAAAATAGGAATCCACTAATACAAAGCTTTGATGAGGAATGAGATATTTACATAGTCTCAAAGTACCTCCTTCAATGCATTTATTAATTACGAAGTGAAAAATAATTATTTCACAATGGAAAAGTCTGGCAAAAACCATGTTAATCAAGTGATCAAGGTTGACATGACTGCACTAGAATTCGGATGATCTGAAGCTGGGTGCCACCCGATGGGATGCAATGAGAGCAAAGCATCACATCTAGGATATTCCTGCTAGAGATACATACAAAACCTAAATCTGATCACAATGAAACATCAAATAAACCAGAACTGAAGGACACTCTTCAAAATAACTGATCTGTCATTTTCAAAAGTATCAGGGTCATGAAAGTCAAGGAAATACTAAGGAATTGTTCCAGAATGAAGGACACTAAAGAGATATGACAGTGAAATGCAGAGTATTTCGTTGGATACTTTGGCTGTAAGGGGTGTGACTGGGACAACCTGCAAAACTTAAAGGGAGTCTGAAGATGGTAGCAACCGACACCAAGGTTGATTTCCTGATTTCGATGGTTGTCAGTGAATGTTCTTGTTTATAGATAAAACACACTAAAGCATGCAGGGACATGGGGTGCAGGCTGGCAAATTACTCTCAAATGACTGAGGAAGAAATAAAAATTCTTTGTTAAATGTATACTTGCAATGTTTCTCTAAGCATGAAATAATTTAGTGAGAAATTAACCATGTTAAAAGAGGAAGAAAGAATGAGGTATGGGCAACTATTACCCTTCAGAACTAGCATTGCAGCCATGTTATTTGCTAAACAGTTTTACTCAATAGTGCTAACAAATCTCAAAAGATGTCTAGAGAGCAAAATACTAGCAATCTCTTTTTGGCTGATACTCTCACAGCCTACACTGTAGGTGCCTATTATCAGTTACTGAATCTGCACGGCACAATACTAGTATTTCAGTGCTGCTATACCTGGTTGTATGTGTCTTAGATGTTAGTACTTGGTCTTTTTGCCCTAATTTTTTTTTTTTTTTTTTGAGACAGAGTCTTTGAGAGACAGTTCTGTCACCCAGGCTGGAATGCAACGGTGCAATCTCGGCTTACTGCAACCTCCACCTCTTGGCTTCAAGTGATTCTCATCATGCCTCAGCCTCTCAAGTAGCTGGGATTACAGGTGAGTGCCATCATGTCCCGCTAATTTTTGTATCTTTTAACAGATGGGTTTTCACCATGTTGGCCAGGCTGGTCTTGAACTCCTAGCCTCAAGTGATCTGCCTATCTCGGCTTCCCAAAGTACAGAGATTACAGGTATGAACCACCATGCCTGGCCTCTACATCATTTTATAAAAGAAAAATTTCAGAAGTATTCTACATTTCAAAATAAATTATTTTAGTACCCCTGAAAAGATTTCACTCACTAGCAGAGAGAGCCCTCAACTTGGATATCCAAAGACCAAGATTCAAACTCATCCATTATTGCCTGGTCATGTGACTTTAGGAAAGGTCACAACATCTGCATCTATAAAATGGTAATTTTCACAGGTACATTTCAGTGTCAGTAGGTAATATAATAGATAGTATCTGAAAGTTTTTTATCCAACATCGAATCCTATATAAACATGGGCAATTATTTCCCAATGGACAAGGAAGAGGGACAGCATAAATGACCTTCTCACAAGACTGGCCCACTTAGAGAGCGGAAGAAGAACACTGTAGAACTGTATGAGGAGGAGCAGGAAGGTGGAATGGGCACTTTTTTAGTCTGCAAAGT